ATATTTGTACAAATGTCATAATAATAATACGAGCTATGACCAGGCAAATCGATTCGCAGTAGCCCAATGTATTTCTGCAATATAAAGATATTAATAAATTATTTTTCTCTAATAATTTTGGCTAATTCTTCATTATGCAGTGTTGGATAAAAACCATCCACAGATCGACAGTGAAAATGTGATGAAAAGAGGAAAGTTTTGGCAAGTTAGGCATGGGAAAGGACAGTACTCAGCAGCTCCTCTTTCCTGATTTAATTTCTGTATAATATTCAAAAGGAATATCTCCTCAAGCTCTTTTTAAGTAGCCTACTTGTATTAATAAATATGTCCTCCCGTGCCATATTTTATCAGTCCAATAATATATCCGTGAAGTTTGTCATGAAAATATATAAAGGATCACATCTCAATGTGACGGTTTACAGCAATTAAACCCAAAAAAATATTAAAGTTCAAGGTTTAATTAAGAGTTACGGTAATTGATTTAATACTACGAAATTGCCGTTTAAGTAAAGACGATAAAGTTATAACAGGTTTAGCAATGACACTGTTGGTTCGTAACGAAGTAAATTTCTCACGAAACAGTGAAGAGGGAGTGAATAGGAAAGCTATTCAAGATCGAGGCGTTAAGATCAGAAAGTTCCTCGTCGTGAGATCTGAATCAGGATTAGCTGCGTCAGTAACAGCTATTACATAGAGATACACAGGCAATAAACATTAGGGTATGATTACAAAGAGAATACAATAAAAAGGACTTAGCTATATGACTCACGTTGACCAAGGTATTGTGTACTACAGACTTGTGGTACTCTTCCTCGAATCATCGATTCAATCCGATCTTAAGTACAGTTGTAGCATTGAACAAGTTGTTTATTGCATTCGAAACAAGTGAAAATAAAATCTTGAAATATAGATCCGACCAAGGGCGGTATGCAGCTTTAATATTAGGGGGGAGATGGAATTCTTTCCGGTAACATTTATAAAAATCTTTATATAAAATGTAATATATACAACAATTTTTTAAAATTAATTTTCGTCAAAACTTTTGAATTATGTGATATTATGTTTTATTTTGTTTCATATTATTTAGGGGAAACAACCCCTCCCCTCTCCCCTCTCACTCTCTCTCCTACCTTCCCCTGCGTATACTATGGATACGACTGTTTTTAATCCAAAATAATAATAATAAAATCTGAAAAAATATATAAGTAATGAGAACAAGAATAAAAAAACAAACATGAAAACTACTATTATATTACTATTAGAAAATTTCAAACAAAGTACAAATTTCTTCCGTGTTACAAATAGACGACAACTTGAAGATAACTAACCACTGGACGATCAGCCAAGATTTGTATCCCCAAGAATTAAAAACAAAAAGTTACATTAATTTTTTTTTTTCTGTTAGCATTACAGACGTTGTAGAACTTTTGACGCTTTAACAAGCCTGCTCCATCTCTGTCTGTCTTGGGCTGTTTCTTTTCATTTATCTGCACGCAGCATTTTTGGATCTTTGCTGATTCTATCTATCCATCTGCTTTTTGGCCTTCCACTGGGTCTTTTTCCTTCTTTTGAGGCATTCATTGTTATGTAGAGGCTTCCAAATGGATTGCTCCTAGCTACATGCCCCGTCCATACACAGATCCTGTTATTGGGGTGGAATTTTATGCTTACTATCGTATATTTTGTTTAGCCTTCATTTATATGTATGCCGATCTGCTCTGCCTCTCTTATCAGACTCTTAGCGATTTTCTCAATGTCCTCTTGATTACTTCCAAGGACAGATATCATCTGCGTATAGAAGGATTTCATGGTTCATTCTGACGTGGACCCCTCCATTTTCCTGAGGTGTTCTTAATACCTCCTCCAGGGCTAAGTTGAACAACATCGGCGATAGTCCATCTCCCTGCCGTAAGCCCGTTCGAACTTTGAAGGCTGCAGATTCTTCTCCTTGAATTAGGACTCTGCATGTGGAGTCTTTTGTGCACCTCAATCTCACCAACTCGCAGGAACTCGCAGTTTAGTCATGATTTCCCAAAGAAAGCTGGACCACATTAATGGAAACTAGAAAAATATTTCCACTTCAACAAAATAATAAATTTATAATTTACTATTTTTTTAAATGATGCCTAAACTAAATATCGTCACTTTATTGCAAAAGTCAAGTGACATTTCATAACCTCAAAGAATTGAGAGATTTGATGAATTTTATCTTTGCGAAATAAGAAAACTGTTCAATAAGAGCAACTATATATGATAAATAAAAGGCTGTGTCATTTTCATGAACTTACGGTGTTTTTGTAGGGATAATTAAGATCGAAATTCACAAAAACATATTCGAAATTCAATCTACACCAAAAATGTACTTACAATTAGTGACTTTTTGCTATAAATCGACAATATGATCGTTGACATAAAACCGTCCTGTTAATCTCTTCAATCAATATGATGTTTACTGATAGACATAATGTTTGCTGTTACTATTTACTATCTCTCATTATTTTATGAATTACAAATCGTGTCATGAGTTCCATTAATCACAACAAGCTAGCACATTAATCATTTTTAACAATGTGTAAACTTTGGCGGGTTTATCTCCAACGATTGATTTATCGAAGTCCAGATATATTTGAATTTTAAACAACCAACATATCGACAACTGCATTGCCAAAACCTGTAAATTGGACAACTAAAATTTAGGTTCCATTTTTTGAATTTTAATTGCATGTATTATTAAAAGACAAGGATGTAATAGTTTAAATAACTCTTTTTTTTTTTTGTATTTATGAGTATGAGCGAGTCCAAAATTAACCAAAAAACACAAAATCGGACTTTCTGATAAATTGTGATTACAGGCTTTTTTAGTGTGGTTTTCTATATACTAACATCGGTTAGAATAAGTTTGTATATCATGTATGCTTTTATAATATGTATAATTTCTACATTCAAACAAATTTTATTTCGGTTTGTCTAAAGTAATTTTATTCCTGAGGTGAAGTTGGTTTGGGTTTTAAGTCGAAATAAAAAGTAAAAATAAATATGATTTCTTATTTACTATTCTAATTAATTATAATAGCTATTATTACTTATAGTATTAATTAATGGATTTTCATTACTAGTTCATTGGTTTATTCTTACGGTTCAAATTACTAGTTTGATATGATTGCCCTAATGTTATTTTAAAAACTATATATTTATGTTCATTTCTATATGCGTTCAATTTTTACGATACAGTATTTGTCATATCAAAGCTGCCAATGAATGACAGGAATTACGACGGAACATACGCCGTAAGATTAATTATTTTCTGCACTTTTCCATGATAATTCTTTTTTTTTATATTATATCATAGAATAGATTGTAGTTTTATTGTATATAATACGGTGTCACAGGTCCTCTTCATTTGATAAATGTGAAAGTAAAAATTACCCAGGCCTAATAGTCCAGTCAAATTAGCACAAACGAGGGGTTTACCTTGCTGAAGGTCGAGTAATTCAAATTTCTTTTTTACATTGTTAGGCATGAAGTGAATATAAAAAATCAAAAAATCCTCTCCCCCTAAGGTCAATAGCGCATGCATCGAAAGGGTTATGTTTCGAAAAATATGTTCAAGTTTTTATTTTTTCAAATTGTATAAATGGGTTCAAACACGTAAAAAAAAAATACTAACACAAACCACGTCACAAAAACTTTTGATAACATAAATAGTCGCATTGTCATATTTTCTTGATTGATTTTAGTTTACATATTTTATTCCTCCGTATAGATTGATTGTTATTGATTTTGATTTAATTTTTGCACTTAGAAATATTAGGGAAAGGGCGGAACGATATCCTGGTCTCCACACAATAACACATCCAGGATTATATTTTGAGGGAGCTTCAGTCCCAAAGATTTTTTTTTTTGTATGCATATATTAGAATAATTACTTCGGGGAAAAGAAAGAAACTAACAACCTGAATGAAATGGTGTTTAAGTGATTCTTTAAACCCTATTAAATGTAATTAGACGAACAATAATACTTCAGGAGATAATTTTTTTCATAAAAAAATGGTTATATTTTACCATTTTGGGGAGGGGGGCTTCAGCCCAAAAGGCTTCACTCCATATAGATCTGGGTGTGTCCCCTCAGTATTTTTATTGGGATCGATCTGAACCTGAAGTCTGTGCCTATAATTTTAAGATTTTGCTTTTTGAAAAAAAAAAAAAATGTGTCTTATAAAACTACAATAAGTAATTAGCAATAATGTTTTCCTTACTTAATGTAAATAATTACTTTCGTTTTTTTAAATAAAATGTCAGTGGGTTAGTCTATTCCCTCCAGCTCTTTTAAAAATAAACATCTTTTGGGGAATCCCTCATATAGAATTGATTATAAAATTCTTATTACTTTAAAATCAACCACTTTTAAGTTGAAATTTAATTAATAAATGGTAATAAAGTTAAAAAAGTAAAAAAATAAATAAATTGAGGTAAGATGCAATATCTCTTCTATTTTCATTAATTATAAAATTCTCAAAATGTACAAAAAAACCAATTTATACACTTATTTTTAAAAATCAACGTTTATTATAAAGATTAATTGATTTTAATAAATTTCATTTCATTTTCAGACTAAACATGATTTCCTCAATTATTAATAATAAATACACCTGACAATTCATTCCTAAGATATAATAATTGGGTTTTTATTTTTAAGGTATTTATGTAAGGAAATTGAACATGCATTTAATAAAAAAAACGTGATTGCTGGAAAAATAAGAAACAGAGTTATATTTCATAACTGGCACAAATTTCATTTATTGCAGAAGTAAACATTTTTCTTGTAGAAGTATACACAATTATCACTGATCAGTATGCTTCCTGACTCATTATCAGAGTACCACATCCTTTCCATAGAAACCTTTTATTATTAGCCAATGGTGTAGTACAAGTATTGTTCTATCAGTTTAAATTTTGATAAATTAAAATCCTTTATTCTTATGAGATAATCAGTGGATAAAATGATGAAGAAGTGTTTCAAATCCTTTTGGAGATTTGGGAAAAAGAAATATACTGTTAGTCTATTCAGTTTTTTCAGTGTTACTAAGAATAAATCATATTTTATCAATTGCATTCTGTGAATTATAGACTTTCTGGAATGTTTAATACAGTGTTGTTTTATCGATTTTCATTAATTTCAGTATGCAGTTAACAAGAATACTACAATGATTGACAAAAAAACTCCAATCAAAGTTGCAGGATACTTGGAAAAAAGAAGTAAAATGGTAAGAGTGTGAGTTAATAAAATATAAATATTAGTTAATTATGTGTTCCAAGATTAGTTGTGTAAAATTACAACAAAGTCTTCACAATCACAAAAATCTACATATCATAAAACTTATATTTTCAATGAAAATTAAAAGCATATTTTACATAATACAATACATATCATCTTTTTTACATTTATACCAAAAACATTAATCTTCCTATCACTAGCCTTTCCTAGAAAAATTCATTTTTTTTGGATGTTTTAGTGAAGTAATAAGAATTTGTTGATACCCTTCAAAATAAGCCAATTGTCTTCCTCTCAATATATATTGGTTTAAATTGAAATCAATATTTATATATATATGAAATTGGGAAACATTTAAGTTACTTATCTTTTTTTTCTCATAAACAAAATATAATACTTCATTCATATATAAATAATATAATATAATATTAACATATAATATTATATTAGCCCCAGTGAATAAATTATAAGTATATTTTTAAAGATTACAATTAAAAAAAAAAAAACAGTTTTCATCATGAATTGTCCATTTATAGACAATATAGAAGTCAGTTCACTTTTTAGAATAGAGAACTCATTTTTATCACATTCAATAGAAACCCAGATATTACCTTTCCAGTTCATTTCTTTCATTTGTAATGTAAGATTGTTTAAATTTATTGAGTAATCTCTTTCAGAAAGTTGTTTGCCGATGGAAAAAATTGTGGTTTGTATTAGAAGGAAGACTGCTTCTCTATTACAAATCTCAGCTCGAATATCTGAGCCTATCGCCTTGCAGAGGCACTGTGAACCTTGGCCTAGCTGCCAGTGTAGCTCCAGGCAAAAGTAATGAGATCATTGTATCAACACGTTCCAACACAGTTTCATTGGTATAAAAAATATATTAAATTTTAATCATACATTGTTCGCATTTTATCTTTTTATTAACTTTTGATATTTAATTTTTAGAGGGCACTTAACAGATCAGACCATGACATCTGGCTTCAAGCACTGATGGATGCTATGCATCTTCCCAATGCAAGCCACTCCATATGTTGTTCTAAGCCTGTGCGCCATTTCAGATACTCAACTGGGGTAGGTGCACTTCACCCTCTGGCATTATTTACTTAATTCATATAGTCTTCATCTTGAGAGTCTGAATCTTCAGTGTACTTTTAATTATTGGTATTATTCTTTCTTTTATAAAAATGTTCAGCAATGAGTTTCACTTAGAACTGTCTAACTTCTATAACATAAGCAGTTCTAAGTGAAACTCCTTGCTGAACACACTTCCCTGAAGAAGACCTGCAAAGTTGGATCAAAATGTTGGCTTTTAATAAAATAATTTTGCCACTATTTATGACCTCCTCACCGGACTATCTTCTTCCTTAAAATATACAATAATATTACTTTCTATGCTTTTAGAGCATTTAGTTCCTTGCATTTGAAAAATAATCCAGATTGGTGCCTGTCAAAATTAAATGCAGTTAATTATAGAAAAGATATATTTTTTTATTCTAACCATTTCTCATTAACCAAGGTATATGAATTGCCTAATAAAATTTTAATTTCTCATTTCTATGCCTTTCAACTTTATTTTATTTTTTATGGTGACTAACCAATTACCATTATAAAACTGAATGGGTAACATTACAGACCATTTTGGAAATAACATTATATTCTTTATTGAGTAGCTTATAAGCTGTTCGGGGACTGTTGTATCTTTTGGTGAAATATTTGATTAACAAATAACTATCAAAAATTCATTACAGAAAATATGAATGGTTAATTATATTCATTATATTAATCATTTACATATGACTTTGGATATCACAAAAATATTATTAATTTTTCAGGGTCTGGAAGAGCAACATATAAGGACTTATGGAGACTACTTTACAAACCATGCTCATACTCTCTCTGGCAGATTATCCCCAATTATTCCCAGGCATTCTTCTGACCGAAGACAAAATGGAGCAATAGATCTAAAACTAGAGAAGCTTGCAAGGCGTTTTAATAAAATAGCTGCCAGTGATAATACCATACCTGAAAACTTCAAAATAACCTCTAGGGACAGCTTAAAAAACAATCTATTGAGAAGATCTATTAGTGTAGAAGATGAAATAAATAGATACCCTGAAAACATCTATGAAACAGTTGATTCAACTAGATTTCAAAATAGAAACCCTAAGAGGGTAATTCGCTCCGATAGTGACTGCCTTTTGATGAGAGAAAGATTGTCCCATCAACCTGTTTTTCGATCCGAGCAAAAAATTAAATCTATTTTTGACTCATCCTATTTAAATGACCGAGACTTATCAATTAGTATGTTAAATAAAAATAGAGTTGATAAGGGTGAAAACAGAATTGAAAAATTGTTCAAAATGAAACTAGAATCAAATGGTTTGGTAGAAAGAAAAAAAGATATTAAAAGTGATACTGATTTAACATTAAGAAAATCAGATGATGTACGACACACAGGGAGCTGTAATGTTGTCTACAGACCAATAGAGCATCTTCCATCAAACAACAGTCATGAATATTGCCTTTGCAGTGACTGTATAAGAAATCAAGATGTTTTAAAACAGCCCATTCACATCAAACCTTCTAAAAAACCAAAGCGTAGCAATTCAATACTAAAACATTTTATGAGAAACAAAAATGATGTGTGCAGCCCATTAATGAAAAAAAATTCCGTAAAGAGAAGATCATTAAGTTTTCTTAAGAAAATTTGGAGGAAGAAAGAACCAAAATTCGAAGATGATATTTCCTTCAATACTGAAGAAAATGATATGCAAGAAATTCATGTCTCAAGTTGTGAAATGGTAATTATTCATTTTCAATTATATCAAATCAGTTATTATGCATATATGTTTTGAAATTTATGTTTCTGATGTTCTAATAGTTGCTATTTGTTAAAATGCATTTTTCACTATTCTAAAAGCTTAAACAATAGTGATTTAAGGTTGACAGTATTATACAGGCAAACAATTTAATAGTGAACTTTGTGAGCAGGGCTTGAGTAGTATGCTCAAACCTTGCCAAATATACCACCTTGAATTGTTTTAAAGAAATTTTAGTTTGTCATATATTCATTTCATCATGTCCATTAATTGGTAAAGTTGTTTGTTATTTCAATAACAAAGGGTTGGATGCACAACTAAAATTTTTTCTTTACATTGTTTGCCTATACCTGACTGTGCTTGTGCACATTTTAGTGTATTTGCAACAGATAGGTAAATATGAATCATAAAGTATTAGTTTCGGTTAAAATTATTGTAATATTTATAATAAAAAAATGTCTTTATGCTATAGGCTGGCTCTTGTAACTATAGCGCTGTGGAAATGTGCCTGGAATATGAGGCTCCTCTTCCGGAACCAGTTCCTGATTATTGTCATGCAGGTATATATTGCCTTTGTCCTGCAGAGTTAATATTTAACAGTAGTAATGAAGAAAAAACTAGTAAAATATAAGAAAATGCTTATTTCTCCAATCACTTAAAATAAACCAGTTGTTTTTTTTTGTTTTTTTAGATAAAGCTAGAATAAACATATTCAGCCTTATTTACACAAATATAATATTTTTCTACTTACTTAAAAAAAATACTTAAAAAAATTTTAATATAGTGTTGCCGAGCAAAGTGATTTAACTGCCGAAAAAATATATACATTAAAAGTGATCTATAGATATTAGCATTAGCATTGCATTATCGATTTAACCTCTGAAAAATTTCCTTCGAACTCGGAGGTGGTCATACTGTAATCACTTTTCCCTCAACCACTCATGCTCATTCCCCCAAAGTAATCTTGTATATCTACATCAAGTAATACTACTTCATTAACAGCAGCTGATTGAAAAAAAAAAAAAGTATTACTATATTCTATTCATAAATTTTTCTTACTATTGTATTTATTTCATTTCATATTTATGTATTATCATTAAAGATTTGCCCAAAACTTGAGCTACTTATTTTGTTTTGTTTTCCATAAATTTATTTTTTTGTGTGTGTGTAAAACACTAACAAATTTAAGAGGGAGGAGAACAAAACAAAATAATGCATTCATATCACTCTGTCTGGTAAAGCTTATAAAAATAAAGTATGATAATAAGTAGCGATTTGAAATAAAAATCTAAATAATGTTCGTCCACATAAACATTTTTAAAAATTAATATTATTCAGAAAATGATTATTTCTTCTTTCTCTTCCACCTTTTGTGCCTTTTAGCTTGGAGGTGTCTCAAACCATGAATCACAGATTTTGCTGTCCTGTTCATAAAACAATTAAAAATAAATAAATTTTAAGAAAATATATTAAAAGTTAACCAGTATTCCTTAATCAGAATTAGACTACCGACTGCACTAGAAGAAAGTGCATTGCCTCCTTTGGCAAACAACCTTCTCTGGATGAGTCTCATTGTTTAATTGGAATCAACTCTTCGTGGCCAGGCATAAGACTAAACTGACCAAAATGACAAATAAAAATTAAATATGGTGTACCGATAAATAATATACTAATATACCAATGTAGTGTAGATTACAATGTAGTTATTTATACTGAGTATTTCTCATATTATATATTTGAAGAGTAAAAGTCACGATAAAAAAAAATTGAGTGTGATTATATGAGGAATTTGAAATTTGAATTTATTATGATCAAATAGTGATTAAATTAAATTAGTGAATTTATTATGATCATAATTGCATCTCTGCTATGCATTGGTGTCATTGACACTAGCAGATCCAGCCACTCCTTCCCCCCTTTCCCCTGCAAGCTGGAAAAAAATTCCAAAAAGCGGCTATTTAAAGAAAAGGGAAATATAGCAAAAATTCATCCTCATAGATGATGAATATTCTAATGAAATATAAAAAAAAATTATTATCGTGACCAGCAGTAGCGAATTATGCCAGGGGATGTGCCCTCGCATGGATGGGGGAAAAATTGACAAAAACACCTATTTAAAGAAAAGAGAAATATAGTGAAAATTCATTCTCATACACGAATTTCCTAATGTAAGACAAAAAAAAATCTATCGGGACCAGCATTAGAGAATTCTACCAGGGGATCCTCCCTTACCACGTATGGCAGCAATGCCAGGTAGGGAGAAAGACAAAAAAAAAAAAAAAATAGAGGTCCTCCCTTAGATAGTGGAAAAAAAGTGAGAAAATCTAAAGCCATATACAGGATGTCTAGTAAGTAGAAGGAAATATTTAAAGGAGTGATAGCCGAACTCAATAAATACAAAAAAGTTTATATAAACAATGGTTCGATTTTCAGCAGAAATTAAAGAATTAATGTTATGTGATTTTTCATGTAAGCCACGTTTTTTGTTGAATGGGTAGTGATAACAAAGAAAAACTATTTAATTTAAGTAATTAACGATTGCTTCCCTGTAAACTAGACAAAATTTACTTTAAATAAAAACAGAGTTTGCTTTTGTTAAAACCATTTAAAGTGGACTTTTAAGTGGCTAACCTCACCTAAGGAGGGGAGGGCTGGGCGGTGGTGGAGGAGGAGATTGAGGTTGGGGAAGCACCTGGTATAGAGTTGCACCTCCCCCTGAGAAAATTCCTGGATCTGCCACTGGTCACTGACATCAAAAAATGGTGACACATGTCCAAATGGCCCTAAGAATTTATTCTACATTGACATGTTTTATAAAAAAATTAGTAATTAAGCATAATCTGGTGGTTGTATAGCAGGCACATAACAGTTGGTAAAAGTCATAAAAGTGTTAATAAGTTAATAAAAATGAAAGTTTAACAGTAATGCAAGTTGTTCTTTTATGGAATGATGAGCTGTACAAAAAATTAAATTAAATTACCATGACAAATGGTCAAGCTTAAAATAAATGTAGTTGCCTTTAAAGACAGCAACATACCAGCTACAGGCTCATTTGTGCTTTTGACAATAAATTTAGGAGATACATAACCATCTTTTCCTGAAAACAGTTAGGTCTTAATCCATTAGGATCTAATAACAAATAATACTTTAACAATGGGGTAACTGATTATATAAAGTAGTAGCCTAATTAAATGACCTAAAAATGTTATAAAGTAGTTTCCCATAACGATAATTTTGGTTGTTATACACAATTTGATTGGGGCAACCATTACTTATAATTTATCAAAAGTTTATGACGTGGAAGAAAAAAAATAAATAAGTAGCAAAAAATTACACTAATTAAACGATGCATTATTCTTTAAAATATAGACCAAGCGCCAGAGTTACCACCCCGGCGAGGACCGACTCCTTGGGATGAACCTTCACAAAGCCGGATAAGTTTAGAAGAAGAACAACCTCCTGCATTACCAATTAAGAAGAGGAAAAGAAAGGGCAATGCATTGGACTGCCTGTTCCAAGATGGTTATGATTCAGGACTTCGCTTTCTCTTCAATGAATCCGAAGATAACAGCCAGAAAGAACTGGGAGAAATCATGGCCCAGCTCGCAGATATTAATGCAGCTCCTCTCAAATACACTAATGATCAGGTAATACAACAAATTATTATTATTTTTTCATTTAAATTAAACAATACATATATTCAATGATGATAAACACATTTCCCTATATAAAGAAGATTTAAGTAATTTTTTTATAATTTTGTGGGTGAATTTGAACCTGCGATTTAATTTCAATCAGCAAATGAGAGGATATAGCATAATATAGCATGGTAGGAGGGAAAGAATACCCATTGGTACTTCTTGGGCCAATTAGAGAAATCTAGGTCCCAGCGACAAATTTTTTAAATTCACATCTGAAATTCAACCTCTTCCTTTATAATGTATTTTACAAAAATTAGGTAAAGATATTACATAATATACTGGCACTGCTACTGCTACTGATGGGTGGAACTAGTCCGGCAAGTGGTCCTTTTTACTAACCCCTGACGGCTACCTTGAGGTTGCCACCACATACTTACCAGAGTGGGAATGTGGCAATCCATTTCCCTGTACTGAGGAGAAATGAAAAGTAACCGACCCAGAGGAGAACCGAACCAGGCACATTGGAACCCACGCCCCAACATGCTCGGCCATCCCGTCTTCTTATTACATAATAAAGAAATAAAAAAATCGTTTTTATTCTGGGACAAAGTCCCTTAAGAATAAAAATATTGTTTATATAAATTATCGTTATATATGTAATATTATGAAAAAAATAATAAAACTGATCATTTGGTGTGGACACAAAACAGTCTTTTCTTTGATTGACTACAATATTTTTAAAAGTTTCTCTCTACACTTTATTTATAGTTACTGCAACTGATGGCTTAGTAATTCTGAGCTATGCTAACATAATTGAGTACAGTTTCCCAGATTGATTGATGCTGCTCCCTTCCAATGGATCATAGCATCAAGTTACATTACAAAGCAATAAGCCTTCCTTGATAAATGGATAATTTAATGCAAATAGAATTTTTCACTGAATTTGTAGTCCCTGCTTCAAACAAACTCTTGAGCTTCATATATCTGTTCAGATTAAATGGAATTTTTTTTCAGGATTTAAATAGCTAGAGAACTAAATTAAAAAAGATGATATACAGAATACTGAAATCTACTAAGAGATAATTTTCAGCTTGCTTGAAAACTGATCCTATTATTTAAATGAAAACATATATTGTTTATTATTTGTTTCTTTAAAAACTAATCGAAAATTAACAATATTCTGATTGATGTGAGTAGTTTCAAATCCAAGCTCAACTCCATTCTCAAAAGGATTATAGGAGACATCAATAACATATGATAGTGCTTTATTTGATCCAGATTATTTAAGGAGTTTCAACCCGTTTTTATGCTGAATAGTCCCTTTGGGTTAGTATAGCTATGCTAGGTGATATAGTGCATTAAGAACTTATAAAAAATAAAACACAAAATTTATGAAAAACCCTGATTAAGCCATTTCTTACCAAAATAATGGTATGAAGTATTACAGAACAGTAATAACTCATAAGTAAAAATCTTGTGATCTTTAGTAATATCTTGAAGATTGAAAAAAATTGTTTAATACTAAAACCAAAATATACTTCATTTTATATTTATTTGATATATTTTATTTTATTTTAGGATGACGAAGATCCAGATTACGACATTCCAAGACCCCATGATTCACTGTTACTAGATCTTCCAAAAACATTCTGTTCTCCTGATAAAATGCAGCCTACTAATTTCTTCAGTCACTTTGAAGATTCGCTAGATCTGCCACAGTCAAGGTAACTATATACTATTAATGGAACTCCAATTTAATTTATTGAAGAGTTTTATATTAAAAAACCATTTTGATGAAAGTATAAAAATTTATTTATCTATGTAAATCGAGCTTGTAAATATAAAATAAATGTCATCTGATTCAAATGTTATAAAAATAGCATATAATTAGCTGCATCCTAAAATATCTTCATGGCAACTTATTTCACTGTCTAAGAGAATAATGATAAGCTGTGGAATAGACAGCACCATTAATAGATGCTACTTGCCATTATTTAGATTTATTTTTAAATGTATTCACAAGTTTTAAATTAAGTATTCTAAAAACGAGCACATAGAATCTACAATGAATGTATAACTTCATGTGAGCTTACATTGGAATCAACAGTGAATGTTATAGGTTTCCAAAATTATTTTGGTATTGTTCGAATAAAAATTGAATAAGGCTTTGATTATTTCTATGATAAAAGAATTAACAGAATATTTTATGTGATTATCGTTAATTGAAAATCAGGTATAAGCTATACAAAAACAGCCAGGGCCAGAATGGATTATAAGTTTTATATTTAAATAAACAAGAGAACATATTCTATTAATATTAAGTCTAGAGATATAGTTTCTTGCTGAACTATACCTTAGCCAGTTGTCAAAGGCTTCTCTACTATCCAAACTCCTATTCCCAGCAAACTGCCATGGTATAGGTATTTTAAAATGACTTTTTTTTTGCAAACTTTTAGAATTTGCGTTCTTTTGGTGGCATATATTCTCTTGTCCATTATTCACCAAGATATCTGGTCTGAGATCAACTTTACAAAATGGCCAACCTACTTTGATAACTCATACTACAACAGAGTTCACGATAGCCCATGTCCTAAATACTCTATTATTAAGGAAAGGAACAAATAATTTTCTTTGCTGTTCAAATTTAGGAAATAAGCCACAAGTCTGCGTATTGACTCCTCACTGAACTGATGTGTTTGACAAATCCTTTATAATTCAAGCTGTCTCCACTTGGAATACCATCCCTCCCGATATTCGACATGCCCAATCAGTTTCCTCATTCAAATCTCTCCTTTTTAAACTACTTCTTTCCCAACCCGATTGATCATGAAAAGTAGATAAGAGAACTGTTAAAGTTCCCCCAGAAATGGTTTTGTTTAATTATGTTATTTTATTTTCACATGTTTGTATTGTATATCTGTATGTATTTAATAGTTTTGTTTTATTTTTCTTCCAATATTTTTATTTTAATGAGCATTGTAAATATTTAACTTAATTTTATGGCCACACAGGCATTTTCTCTGTATCTATAATTTGTCCTAAAGGGACAAAAGTCCTAGCATAATAAAAATCTATTTTCATTTCATTTCTCATTGACCTGTTAAGTAAAGAAGCTTTTGATAGTATATTCTCGAAAATAACTCATAGGAAGATAGGTAGTAGATACCATGCTATGACAATCAAGAACATAATTAAAAAGAAAATTGTGTATTGCTAAAACTTGAATTTCTAACCACAAATTGTATCAGAAAATGAATCTGATTTTAAGAATCTACAACACAATTAGAAGCAAGAATAATTTTATTTTGAATAGTACGAGAAACTGACCAGTCATTAAGCCAAGTCAAAAACGAATACGAAACTTTGTGGACAATTTCAAATTCCAAATTATTAATGGTTAAGAACTAATTTATGTATAAATAAAAAAAAAAATCATAATTTTTGGTTGCTTTTTAATTTAAGTTTTTTTTAATACAGAAATTATTGAGAACCTTGATTTTATAAAAAAATATTTTTATTTATTTTTGTCAATTACTAGGTTTGAAGAATTCACTATGGCACCAGACTCACTGGAATGTGATCCATGGTCCCTGAGTGAAAGCGAAAGTACTTCTGACAACTGGACTCCACAAACGCAGATACGAAAAGCGATGACATCTTCTACTTATAGTTCCCAAGAAACATTTTTTAAAGATTCACTTAATCTTCCAAATGGAGGAAAGAATTATTTAAATATACAAAACAACTACATTCAACTTCACAGCTAGTCTTAATTATTGTTTTTATTTAATTTGTGTGTGATTTTATAAAAATATTATCCTTTAATTGTAATATAAATTGTAAATATTTTTTATTCATTGTGTTTTTTTAATAGACATAGACAAAAAAAATCTAAAATAAAAATATACCATTATTTTATATTTTCATTAATACACTTTTATTCTTTTCAACGTACCTAGGTACCTTACAATAAATATAAAACTAAGAATATAGTTTACAGTTTTAAATAATACAAAAAAAAAAAAAATACTAAATGATACAATTATGTAATGGAATTTTTTTCAACGTTTATCTTTTTATAGACTATGATTTAGATTGAAATTTTTAATAATTTAGATTGACGCTGATGAAATTCATAAAAACATCACAACCACGTAAAGCAGGGACTTATTGTAAGTATTGATATAATGTAGATATTAATAAAGAATGATTTTCAGGATTGCTCTTTAACTAAAATTATGAACAGTTATATTGAACATACTTGCAGTAAGTACCTGGCAGTAACAGTTTTTTATTTAAAGCATTAATTAATTACTAATCAAAAACCACTATATCCTAGAGAACAATAAAAAATATCTTTTTAGATACAGCCCAACAAGTAGTTACTTTTATTTATTATCACATGATTTAAAATAGGGTGAGGTGTAATATTTTTTTTTTTTTTTTTATTAAATATCACTTTTAAGAGCTGGTAAAATTACAAAAACAATCAAAAATAAATATTATCACTTCACGTACCACAGTAAAAATAATTTTTAAACTATTGTTATCATAAATGCTAATAAAAATTATAACAAAGTACAAACTTTTCAACTATCAACCCCGTTAAGGGTACAGTATATTTTAAAAGCACTGTCATGTATGGAATAAACAAATTAAAATAAAACTTATAAGAAAAATAATTTTCATTGCCACTTAAATAAATAAGTTTAAAAAAAAAAAAAAAGGGATATAAGTCTAATCAGTGCCAAGTTTGCCCATTACAAAATACATGCCTTAGGCATATACTTTCACATATTAATATCAACTATGCTGTTTTCCCTTAATTATATATAAATAAAACTAAAGTGTTTGAAATTAAAGTTCTCGATGGACCTATAAGTGATAAAACGGGTCCAAGTTAAATACATAGTGTAATTATGAGTAGCTTATTAGTTAAAAACAATTCACTGGGTGAACTATAATGTTTCTTCAAGAATTTCTGAAGCGGTTTTGCAGCTAGTATTAATTTAACTACAGCAACTCTGAGGTGTAGGATCTAATCCTGATCGTTTAGTAATAACCATACGAGTGAATTCTTCCGAAACAGTTGGGTGAATGCCTACAGTATTTTCTAATTGATCGAATGTCATGCCGCACCTTAAAAAAAAATAATAATAATAAAATCAATTATATTATGAAGATGTTCTGTATTTCAACTGAAAAATTAAAATTAATGAAAACTTACTTAACTGCAGCTGCATAACCTTGGATAACTTCTCCAGCATGTGGACCAATAAAGTGCATACCAACAATAGTCCTAGGAGCTTTTCTTAAGCATATCACTTTTAGATAGCATCTTGCAGGACTACGTTGTGGAATGAAAAATTCCAGAGGCTTATAAAAGGCATGGTAAATCTGAAAATTCCAGAAATATAATCTTTTAACCATATGTAAGAAGTGACACAAACTCTTAATTTTAAAGAAGAGCGAGATACCTTTTTTAAAATTAACCTTACATGGAAGATTGCATAAAAATTGAAAAAATCCTATACACAAAAGCTTCTACTTTACAACAATATGAGTGGTTTATTTTAATCATATAAATTAAAATTATAGTCTAACTTCAGTAATATTTTTTAATAATAAAGAAAGTTGTAAGCACCACTTAAATAGGAAAAAGAAGACTTTATATATATTCACCCTTATTAAGACAGTATAGTGTATCTAAATTTGTGAATTCTGCGTTTACCCAAAATATTTGACAAATGGAACTAATAGTTTTAGAATTAAAAAAAAAATCTATTACACAGACTACCTTATGGCCGGAACAGAAAAACTAAAGACACTATTATCTTAACATGAAGATACATTACACAATATGTGGGGAGCCTCTTTATCATTAGAAGCGAACTTCAGTTAAGAGAGATATTAATTTTATATATTTTACTGTAGACATTTTAGTATTTGTGACTTAGCCGGTCACCGCGGAACCTACATTCTTACCTCGTTTAACCTCTACTTATCACTAGTCGCTACCTAGTTATTTGTGCGTTCTTATCGATATTCAATTGTTTTCTTTTTTTTTTTTTTGTCAATTTTGTTTTGTTTTTTTATATAAAATGGATATAATAACATTTTGACAATTCTGTCTTCGAGAGAAGGGGCTATGAAATATTTTCAAAAGTTCGGAATAATTCTAAAGATGATATTCTGTGAGTCATCAAATGGAGTTTGACAGGAAGACCAAATGGAGATTTTTTCCTAGGAGATGCAGGAAAAAAATTTCTTTAAGAGAAATGTGGTTAGAGGGGTCAAGAATTACCTTTTTGGCGGCTCTAAAGTGTATAAGTGTATTTGTAGCTGGTCTCATAATTTAACAACAATTTAGTGGGGTAAAGAGCAGCTGAAACTATCTAAAAAAAATTGAGGTCGAGTGGAACAGATTTTTGAGAATTTTGTGCCCTTGACATGTTATACAGGTCAACTAAAAAAATTGGAGGGCTTGGAAAAGTGGTTGAAATACATGAAAATCTTTTTTATAACAGAAAAAATCAAGTAGGAAGAGTGCTCTATGAACAAAGGATATTTGGCAGGGTTCGTCGGAGAAACAGACGGGTGTTTCATTTAAAAAAAATAATAATAAAAGCAACAACTCTATCAGAATGTCTTAAAAATAATATAGGAAAGAGAACTACTATATATTCTGACTGTTGGAAAAGATGTAACCATTTTCATAAATATAAATAAGAGGTTCGGTTTTATCAGTGTTCAGGTTATAAACAATGGCGGGTAGCAGTCCATGGCGACCAGCTGACTCACAAGTACCAGTATTTTTATTTTGTCAACAGCATACATAAAAAATTTATTATCATGTTGATTTTATTTATATAATTGAATAGAGATGGTATTAATGAATGCCATACAAAACTCACGGAGAGTGCATATAAACTCTCAAAGGACACTGGTTTTCCACCCATGTACTAAACAAATAACCTAAAACATGTAAGGATACAGATATAAATTTATACTGAGGGTTGCCAACCATTTTTGCATGGACACATTTAAAAATGGCAAAAAATAGTGGCAGTGTAGTTGGACTAATAAGTAAAAAGTAATGTCCATTATTAGAATTAGAATTATTTGATCACATTACATATTTATTTTAAAAGACTTGTTAGTACCATCTTTGCAATTTCAATTCATTTGCTAACTTCTCACAGTTGTGAATGTAAGATGATAATCTTCTTCATAAAGAACCATCAAGATTCACATTAATAAGTTGAGATCTGATCTTTTATTTTATGTTAGAAAATAAAGATTTACACAAATAGGTGGAATGAATCTAACAAGGATTATGTTTTGAACTATTTAAAAATTAGACTTTTTTATGTTTAACTAAACTTCAGGAATTTGCATTTTTATCTAGAAATTTTTATTTGTTATTTGACCGTTTTTTTCTTATTATTTCTTATTAGTTGACCCATGCCTCTTTTTATTAAATAAGTATGCTATACATTTAGCAGTTTCAGCAATGCCAACTAGGGCATTAAAAGTTTTACAATAAATGTAGCCACAAGTTCGATAATTGCAAAGTGCTGACCTACCTTTTTAAATTTACTTTAATATTTAATTCTTTTTTTCTATTGAATAGAGATGGTTGTGTTATTTTGTTGTTATGAACAATACCATTATTCAACTTTCATCATGTTATTCATCCCAAAAATTAAATTCAGTAATTATATTAGATTGTTTTTAATATCCCATAACATAATAAATTCAATTGACATTTTAATAATGCAGACATATACCAAAAGAAATAGTAAATGTAATGATAAATTGCATCTATTACAATAGAATTAGGGATTATGTAAAGAAATAATCCTATTTTAAAAATATATACAGTAATATTAAAAAAATACAAAATTCCTGAAATCAAAGGTTTATAACTAAAATGGTGTTGGTCACATTTAGCTGTACTGATGGCCCACTTGGATAGATCAGAATTATTATTAAATGAGAAATAGTTTTATGACGTAAACCGGATTGTATAGATTTAAAAAAAGTTAAGGAACAGTTTCATTTGATCTAAAAAACAAAATTTTAAGTACTATATATGGATAGAGAATATGCTACTTGACTATTTAACAAGAATATCTAAGGCATTCAGGCATGCATTTAAAATATTTCCTTTTACAAACCTCAAGATTATCTTCACCATAATTCTGGATAGCAGCTTCCTCAGAATAACCAACACAGCCATATTCTATCGGGGTGAAAACAGTTGTGGCCACATTCGTATAATCCATTTGGTTATTGCTTTTTCCATATAATCTAGCAGCTAGCAGCTTTCCAGCTTGAACTGCTACAGGAGTCAGTTCAGGTCTTCCCTTAAAAAAAAAAAAAAAATTAAACCTCCCTCCAGCTTATGTATTCTTGAACATATAAAATCAAAAGTACAATCTCACACATAGATATTGATTAACAATAATTGTTAACCCGAATGAGGGCGGGGAATTTAAAATCCCCTCCGGCACCGGGACGCGAACTCGTACTTTTTATATCATCTCAAATCTCTGTTATCCGGTTGCCTGGCAACTAGCGGTGTTGTGCACACGCTTTAGCCTATTCGGCCACCCCGCCCCCAAGGTCTTAAGGATTAGAACACCAACATATTATGATATTTTGATAAGGCTGCCGAGTCAGGATTTGTGGATATAGGGTTTATGTTAGAAATAGACAGTTCCCCCTCCTCACCATCTGCTTCAGCTTGACTCACCTCTCCGGCCTAGCGTCCACTTCGTCAGCCATCTATCGAGATCGATATATATATATATATATATATATATATATATATATATATATATATATATATATATATATAAAAATATATATATATATATATATAAAAATATATATATATATATGGGGGTACCTCATTGGGAGTAGGGTTATATACGTTACATTTTGATTTTTTTTTTTTTTTTCTCTCTTCTCTCTGTAGCATCGTTTAATTTTCACAGACCTTTTTTCACCGAAAAACATATAACGTAAATTAAAACGTGACAATGAGCGGGAATGGTGGAGCATTCTTGAGGACGGAATACTTTTAATCACCTCTACTAACCACTCACATGTTTTAATTTAAGGCATCGTTTAAAAATGACTAATATGTGAGTCCACCGTCATTAAAGGTTTAAAACCTCACAAAGATGTTAGGGATATCATCACAATGATACATAGAACATATACTATCTTAACAACACATAGCAGACATCTTTCACTGATTCATCGTGACCACTAAGTAGATATATTCAAAATAATAACAGAACTAAGGGACTAATAATAATAAAATAAAATGAACTAAGGAAATTACACATAAGTTAAAAAAAAAAAATTTTTAATCAGAATTTAAAAAAAATTATATAAAAAAAACTATTTAACACTAATTGAAAAGTTAAAAAGTACCTGTAAAACATCACCGACAGCAAAGACGTTAGGAACATTTGTTTGTTCAAGCTTGGCAATGACCTTCAGGGAGTTGTTGTCTAAATCAATACCAGCATTTGTAGCTTTTAATTCTTTGGTAAGAGCCCGGCGACCAGTAGCTATAAGAACAGTGTCAAACTCTCCAGAAAACTCAGAATTATCCTTTAACATAAAAACAAAGAAATCAACATCCCATACTTAAAACTTACAAAAAATAGAAAAATAAAAGAGTACTATACTTAAAATGGTAGCAGTTATACGTATAGCTTATAAGTATAGAATTGGGGCGAAAGACAATTTTCTCTTTAATTATATAATTCCTGGCTAGTTTTTAAGTAATCAAAAATTAAAAATCCACAGTCCTGATTGAAACTATTAACACATAAGTTTTTCTTGTTCCACTGTTAATTAAAGTAAAGACTGTAGATAATTTATTTTTTCTCATTAATTAAAGCATTGCTTAAGACCACTTTTATTAAATATTTTACTTCTTTACACGACATCAACTGCCCTTAAGACAACCTGAGATTGGTTATAGCAACTGTGGTAAGCAATATAATTTTATAACAATGTTAAGCTAAAACACAGGAATTTACTAAATCTCTTCAAGATTGTTATGAACGATATCCGTGTACACAACAGGTCACATTGTTAAAGAAATTCATTTTAACAAACAAAATATACTTTAGAAAGGTGAAAAATGTCAAGGAAAAGAATAGAACCATTCAAAACTTTCTTGATGGCCAGATGATATGTTACATTCTTGCGTTTATATCTTGTGAAAATAAGTTGATTCCTAAGATATGTTACATAAGTTACAATATAAAAATAGGAATAACTTTCTTGATATTCATGAGGCCCATCACATTTACATGAAAATCTACATATTAGCATTGGGAACATTAAGTTGGGTACTTATAGGGATTGATTCCTATAATAGAGATCTGTCTAAAAAATACTGGTCCATTATCACACGATAAATTTTAGAAAAAGCAATATTTTTTGTAATAATTTATAATAGTTATTTAGGAGATCAACAGGTACTCTTGTGATGAATATGTTCTAATAAGTGACAAAATATCAAATCACATATTTTTTTTATTTCTCAGAAATTAGAAATCATCTTATTAGAAATGATAAGAAAATTCACTAAGTAAAAAAATAATAATAATACTTACAACAGTATTTCTCCATTTTGCTAAAATTCTTCCAGAATTCAACTTCTCAAATGAAACAGGTACACACTTATGTAAGAACTTGACCCCTCTTTCTGTCATTTCTTCTGTCACCAGGCCTGCCATTTGCTGATCGAATCCTCTCAGAACCACAGAACGAACCATCACAGTAGCGTCAAAACCCATTCCTTTAAGAAACCCAGCACATTCTAGACCAATGTCTAATATCATAAGTTAAGGTAAACATTGAAACTTTTGGAAGACTTTATAGTTAATAGACACGTAAGGATGAATTAAATTGCAGGATCTTTGGGATAACTCCAATTTATGAAAACTGACTTAATAAAACAATATGTAATAGAGAAAATAGTCAAATTACATTTATTAGCTGTATTAAAAAATGCTTAATTTTATATGCACATATTATGCTGTATGCAGAGAAGGAACTTGGGAATAACCAGGCAGGGTTCAGAAAGGAACAGTAGACAATAAAACAAATATTCTCACTAAGGCTAATCCCAAGAAGTGTAAAGAGTAAAATAATATAATTTGTCATGAATCATCTCTCTCTTTAAGCAATTTAGCCCAAAATGAACTGTGCAAAGACCATGAAGAAATGAGTATATCCAAGTTCAGTGGAGCAGATAAATGAAATTAAAATGTATTTTATTATAAAATAAACAAAATAATATGTGGCCTTATAAAACTTATAATGATCAAGAAGACCATAAAACATTATCATTAACAGAATAAATCAGAATGGAGAAATTTTAAACCAGCTTCAAAAAAAAGAGACTAAATTATATGTTATATTATTTGTTATCAAATAACAAATGTTCAAACCAAAATGAACTATGCAAGACTAGGAAGAAATGAGAATACCCAAGAAGTTCATTTGTCTAACAAAAATGACAATGGAAGCTTCAAATGGTGCAATAAAAATTGAATCCGAAATTTCGGTAGAGTTCAACATAGATACAGCAGTGAGAAAATGTGATTCTTTTGTCTGTGAACACTTGATTCAAACAAGCTGAAGAAAAATCCATTAACTACTCAAATAAACTCATAAAACTATATCAAGGTACAAGTTAGAATTAATTAGTGTCTTTAATAACACAATTAACAAAATATCTATGCAAATAAGGATACAGCCAGCTCCAACTACAAGTGTTTTTCCAGGAGGCTTCTCAAGTGAAAATATGTCATCACTTGTGATACAATATTCTTTAGCTCCAGGCACCTCTGGAAAAGATGGACGCCCTCCACAAGCAATAAGAACATGGTCTGTTTTCAAAACCTTTTCTGTTCCGTTCTTTAAAGTAGCTATCACTGTATTTGGATCAGCAAAGTGGCCATGTCCATTAATGTATTCAACTTTCCTAGAAGACAAAAACTGAAGTTATACTTTAATTTACAAAAATAAAGTACCTAAACATTTCACAGGGCCACTCAGATTAAATATGACAAAAAAAAAATTAATAACTGGATATATCAAACTGATAACATATAATTAAAAAAATAAGATAAAATAAATATTTATTAACAGAAACAAAAAAATAATATCTTACTTATCTCTCAATTCGACACGAGTTACCCAGTTCACACTTTTAACATGATTTTGTACAGCTTCAACTAACCGTGTCCAATTGATTTTAAGGGTAGATGGATCAGGTATCTCCCATCCAAACTCTTTGGCATCCTTGAAAAAAATAAATAATTTCTGATTAATAATTTAATTCGATTTGGTATTTTTCAAAAATCTGCATATTGAAAATTATAAAAAAAAATTATGGTAACACGCCAGATACACCACTAAAATACATAGACCATCAGCATCCTCACTCAGCAACTTGAAGGTTGTTATTTAAGTTATTTCAATGAATCACAAAGAAAAACCTGCCTTTTTTCCACTGTTAGGATATTATTCCAAAAACACGACTTTTTCCATTGTTACTATTGTAAATAGTTTGGGCTATTTCCACATAGAGTTCAGTTACTTTTTATGTAATTGGTTTCATTCATATATTTTTCTGTTTCACAGAGAAATTTTATTAAAAACATTTATTCATATACATACATAAATCTGTTTTTTTGTTAATATAAATTGTAATATTTTACACAATATTATGTATTTGTTTTAATAAAAAGTAACACTATGGTTATCTATTCAATATTCAATAAGATTACTTCTTGAACGAGCAATAAGTGATAACATCACAACAGAGGGGATATGAGCTTAGAAAGTTTCATTTAAAAGACATTTAATACTAACAAAACATTAAAGTACATAATAATATCAAAGATGTAAAAAAGTTATAGAAGCCAGCAAGATAAAAAAAAGAGATTGACAACTTTCAAATAAAAAAATCTGTTCTGGAGCAATACTAAAAATTTAAATAAAAAGTACAGAAAAAAAATTCTAATTTTATATTCCTGTCAGTTCAGCCAATAGTCATCTAATATCTCGTAATACATACAAATATTTTTAGTCTAAGAAACAAATAAAACTAGGTATTTCAGATTTTAAGGTTGTTTTGGGTACTTACATACTATCTTCAAATGGATATGAAATTTCAAGTAAATGAATTATGCTTGGAACTACTGGATTATACAATGCAATTATAAACTATTTTATTGTCAATATTAAAAAAAAAAATCCATAAGACAAAAACATTTAAAAGATTAAATGTTTTTTATCATTGAACTTTTTCTTTTTATCAAAATAGAGTGTACTATGTACTAGGTATTATATACAATAATAACTAATTGCTGTATAAATATTTACAAAACAATAAATAAACCAAAATAAACAACTTTCGTACATGATTGGTTTTTAACTTTTGCCAACACTATGATAAATACACTACAATGAACGATTCTGAAGATATAGCAATATTTCAGTTTTTATTATAACAATGTTTTCGAAAATTTAAACTTATAACAAATAAACACCTCTTATGTTGCAGTTAGTTCAAAATTAATAATTATAAAATTTATATAAGATAAAAAAAGATCTTTAACAACGGAATAGCTAAAAAAAAAAATGAAATTGATAAACAATTAATACTATTAATATTTCTTTAGTTAAATTTACTAAAGGGAATAAGCTCAGGAGCCGGGGCCCAAAAAATCAACCTCATCGCAAGCAAAGGTTTGATTGTAAATTACGAAAGTGTATGTTATTCTGAGTAAAAAGAAAATTTAGAGTCTGCGGTTTCATACCCAATGCATTCAAAAATCGCAGCTGATTTAAAAAATATTAGCCCGGTAATTTGAGAATCAAAATGGGAAATCCATGGCGAAAAATGAGAGAAAAGTTTTTATATTTTAAACTTGTATATAGTGTCTTAGGCCCGGTTCTCTACATCCTTTTCACAGCCAACATCCCAACACATCCTGATACTTTTCTAGCAACATTCGCTGTCGATAGCGCCATCCTATCATCCCACCCAGACCCTGAAACAGCTTCCCTGAACTTACTAAGACACATCTCCCTGATAGAGCAATGGGTGCAACGATTGGCGCATCAAAATCAATGAATCCAAATGCAAACATGTCACCTTTACCCTCCGATGCAGATCCTGTCCAAATATCCTTTTCAACTAAGTACCTCTTCCCATCTCAGACACAGTTCGGTATCTTGGATTCCTTTTAGACAAAAAGACTAACATGGAACGCACATACCAGACTTAAAATACAAGAACTTAACAGAAGATTTGGCCAGTTATACAGACTACTTAACAGAAAATCTAACCTCTCAATTGAAAACAAACTATTAATATACAAGACCATACTGAAACTCATCTGGACCTACGGACTGGAACTGTGGGGGACAACCAAATTTTCGAACATCAAACGCATCCAATCCTTCCAGTCTAGAGTTCTCTGTATAATAGCCAATGCTCCTTATTAAATCACAAACTATATCTTACTTACATCATGACCTTCACATCCCTTATGTCCTTGATGTTATTCCATCCCGATTCTCAAATTTTCACTTGAACCTAATCCACCATCCTAACCCCTTAGCACAATCCTTATCAAGCTCAAGTCATCCCTACAATCCTCCTCGAAGGTTGAAACGGCAGTGACCTCGAGATCTTTTGTAAATATGTCATTAGAGTTCTGGCCACTCAAGTCATGAGCGTCTGTGGCTGTAGAGCTCTCTCTTAGTCTCTACTGGACTCTTGATTCCGGTGACGAGACTGAGAGAGTAGCGCTGGGATCTCTTAGAGTCTTCATCATTAATATTAATTTAATTTTTTTTTTCACTATAAGCTATATTTCTTTGTTTTTATTTTATTATATATACATTATTATTTTTTAAATATCTGTTTTTAAGTATTTCATTTTTTTTTATTATGTTGTAAATATGGTATGAATGTACCTTACAGCTTTAATACTCAGTACCGTTATATGTGGTAAAATGCATTATACCTCAATAAAATGATTATTAAAGTAAAAAAAAAACTTGTATACATGGATTTAGACATGGAAAAAACAAAATTGTCAAGGCAGGCCACCAAGAGAAAACTTTTTACAGACAAAAAAGTCAGACTTTTTCGATTTTTTTTTGTTTTTTCACCGATAACTTCTAAACAATGCATCAAAGCAAAAAATGTACTCTTCAATAAATTAAATAACGTTAAATTGTGTGTCAAACGAGTACATAAACTTTATAATTTGGTTACTTGATAAGATAAAAAAGAATGGTTAACCAACGCAGACTTTTACAAAAATTTGTCGAAAACCAACACAAATTACTATAAATGGGCCTGACTTGGAAATGAGAGAAGAACCCAGAGAATCAAAGTAGTAGAGTATCAAATTTTGCGTCCACTGAGTACTGACATTTTATTGTATTACAAGTTATTAATTAATTAAAATCTTTAAATGAATATAGTAATTTTTAAGGTATTTCACAATATACATAAAAGTCGATCTCGAGTTAAGCTTTGAAAATATGGCTAATTAATTGCTCAAGAGATATCTGAACCTCAAGCAAGTCCTTGAAAAAGTGATAGGAATTTAACCACATAAGAATACTTTATAGCAGAGGCTACTCAAAATTACTATGCATCATAAATTGGAAGGTAAGAAAATATATTTATACAAATATAAATTTTAAGAGGCATTATGAAACGTACACATACATAGGCAAAAGTCAAAACCATCAAGCAATAATTACTTTGGAATAACTATAATACACTTTAATGAGTTTATGGTTACTTACATGGAGAGCTTCGCCTAATAAAGCAGCTTGATGCATTAATTTTTTCGGAATGCAACCAACATTAACACAGGTTCCCCCCAAACCCCATGTAGTTCCCTGAGGAGATGGGGTGACAAAGTCCAAAACAGCAACTTTTTTCCCATAAGAAACTGCTTCTTTTGCACAGGCTAGGCCACCAGAGCCACCTCCGATCACCACCAGGTCATAATCTTTTGCAGCTATAATTGATAGAATATTGTTAGCCACACAATAAAAAAAATACCTCTTTATAATGTTCAAACAAATAAACTTATGTTGCGATACTAAATAAAAATGACAGATTGATAGCATGCTTATGAGTTTATCAGAAACTTATAAGGGGCCAATTCCCAGTAGAATCAATACTTCAGTGTTAAGCCTATACACCCATAAAAATAAACTAATGATTTTATTATTTTTTAATAAATACCTATACTACTCCTCAAAGTTGTTAAATGTCTAATATTAGTAAGTAGTTTCTCTGACAGCTTCAATAAAGAGCGATTACACAATCGTTGACTGACCATCATCACAATTAAAAGATATCAGTACTAAAAATTGGCCTCAACTACCTACCATTAACTAATGGCCTACCAACTACAAGTAAAATCCAAAACTCATTCTGAATAGAAAAAAAGTTTTGCTTTCTCGTTGCATTACGTAACAAAATGTGTTAAGGAAGGTTCTAAGTCCACAGGTTAAAGATAAGAAATTTAAAATTTCGTCATTTCGTGTAACAGCAGCAAGTAAGTAATCGTTCAGCATGAAATCAGTTTTGATAACAGGAACGAACCGAGGGATTGGTTTAGGTTTAGTTAAATCACTACTTTCTAGCAAAAATGTGCCAAAACGTATCATAGCTACCTGCCGTAAACCAGCTGAAGCTAAGGTAAGCTTTTACCTGTATTGTTATCAATAAGTACTTACCTGATTCTACAGGAGCCATAGTTTATAAGTTTCACTGTAATATTAAAAACTCTTAGCACCAAACGCTTAAATATATCTAAAAGGATGCCGTTGCAGAAATGAAATATCGAGTCACTAGCTTCCTTAACCCCACTCCTTGATATGAAACCATTAGATGACGTCATAATGCTTATACTTTCTTGGATTGCTTATTTATTTGTATTGTAGTACAAATTTCCACTTTAAATATTTTAACATTCTGATTTTATTATTACTTTTATGAATATTTATGGAAATCATTAGCACACATTCATCAATAATCATCGTTTTGGAAGAAATGTTGGTAATGATTTCTTTCTTTTCTAGGAATTACAGGAAATTGCTGAGAAAAATCCTAATGTTCATGTTGTGCAATTTGGTGAGTGGATTAGTTAATATATAATTTTTTATTAATGCTTTAAATTGATAAATCAGTGGCATAAATAAGTTAGAAGTGCCCTGGAGAAGTATTTGACCATTTTGGCGCATAATAAGTCATCATTTCATAACAATGTCATGTGTAATATATTTCGAAATTGAAATAATGATTGTACAATATTATCTTATTTTATTGACCAAATAATGATTTAAACAACCAAAAAGCATAATCAAATACTTTTTACTTGAGTTAAAAAAAGAATGGCTCGAAATTTGCCGCTCTCTTCATTTACTAACTTGGACAAATGCTCCCTTTACCACCCTTTGTTCTGGATCCGATCCCATAGGTGGGCAAATGCCCACTGAGTACTGAGTACCAAGCATTTTACTCAAATACTGACCTTCTGTGAGTACCAAAGAATTTAATTACTACTTAAGTTGACGTTAAACACGGGCGGATCTACGGGAGGGTGGAGGGAGATTTTTGGGCTGAAGCCCCTCTCCCCAAAATGGTAAAATATAACCATATTTTATGAAAAACATTATCTCTAAAAGTATTATTGTTCGTCTAATTACAGTTAATAGGACTTAAACAATCACTTTATCACCATTTCATATAGGTAGTTAGTTTCTTTCTTTCTTCCAAAGTATTTATCCTAACATATTTATACAAAAAAAATTCTTTCGAGCTGAAGCCCCGCCAAAATTAAATCCTGAATCCGTTCGTGACTTTAAACGATTAACTGAAGTAATTGAATTCTCAATAGTGATTCAGTTGGAGCAAAATACTTTGTGCTCGGTACTCAGAGTAGGGTTTGCCCATTCCAACTTTGATTTTTGAAGTTGTTTTGAAACTTTTTGGAGCAGTTGTTTTTCTCCAACGATTAGATTGTTTTTAAAAAAATAAGATAAACCATCTTTAGTGTATTTCTGTCACGTGGCGTTGAAATTATTATAATTTAAGTTGTGTTATTGTATTAACTTTGGCTCCAACTGTTCCTCGGCCATTCCGTTACTGTGATGTATGAGATGAAAAGTACACCTTTTTCACTATTTTCAGATTTGAATGATTTTCAAAGTTATCCTTCCTTGTCAGAGAATGTCAAAAACTTAGTTGGAGATGATGGACTTAATCTTCTGATTAACAATGCTGGCATTGCTGGAAAATTTTTGAGAATTGGTTATTTGAAAGCTGATTCTATGCTCGAATGCTTCAAAATAAATACTGTGGCGCCTACAATGTTAACCAAGGTCTGTTCAGCCACTTTTTTTCTTTAAAATATTTTTTTTTAATGTTAAAAAAAAATCTAGTGCGGCATGCACATCACACAACTTTCAATTTCCACTCTAAATAAATTATTAAATGTCTGCTGAAATAGAGCTTATTGTACGACATTTAGCATAAGGGAACCAAACCACATTATATATATTTTAATAAGCTCAAGTCAAAGTTAAATGGCCTTTTAAGTAAGCACATTGACGTTAGGCAATGAAAATCTAGTAACTCCGTATGTACTTTTAAACCAAATAATTCGTCTTGAAGCAGTAATTCTAAAAACATGAAAACTAAATCAATATGTAAGGATTGAACTATGCAGTAAGAATTGAAGGAATTAAATATGTACCCAATTATACATTTAAAAAAAAAAAAACTTGTTTTTACATAGTAAAATTTAACAAAATTAAGTTGCAATATTTTCGCTGCCTGCCATCGATATTTAGTTCGTTTTTTTTTTACTTACCTAATTTTTTTCTACAAGCAATAGAACGCAAAATATTGCTATTTTATAGTATTATATTACTATTATATTCATCAAAACTCAACTTAAAAGCGGTTTGAGAGTAATAGTTCATGTTTTGTTTTGTTTTTTTGTAATGAAAGTGTTATCTTCAAACTTTTTTTTTCAACTTAAATTTTTCATTAATAATAAATGACCCGAAATATTGTTATTCTATACGGAAAATTGTAAAGACTTCTTTAATTTAAAACTACACCTAACTCTATTTTGTGGATTAGTCTCCTTTCTCTGTTGTACACAACCAGCCTTTGAGAACAAGATGTTTACTTTGTCATGTGCTGAACCTAGTCTCAATTCATCGAGAAATGCACAACTGGGCTTCAAGGTCTACACTGCTTAAAAGATGTGTAAATAAACAATTGTAGTTTAATTGTTTCCATGTTTTTGGTACGAAAGTTCTTCCCAATCGAAACTCCCGTAAAATATTATTCCCTCCTTATAAATTCGTAACCCGGTAAACATGTGTTCTCTCTCGAAAATTCATAACCCGTAAAAATGTGTCCCCTCAAAAATTCCTAACCCCGTAAAAATGTGCCCCCTAAAAATTTTGATGGCGCAACTTGCGCTATGTGACCCCTTTTTGGACACCTCTGGTTTCGAGATTGACTGAAGTATACACATATTCTTCCCGCTACAGCACTCCAGAGGCCCTCCTTGGATCAAATGAACCGAGATTCGTTAGTAGTACAGGACTATCCTGTGAAAGCGTGGAACAATTTGATCAAAAGTTCCTCATTTGCTTTCGGTTTTTCGCGTTGTTTAAAATTTGAACTATCTCTACAGCTCCTCCAGACCAAAGAATTGAAAATTCTATTCAGTTTTGCGAAATGGGCATTGATAAAGTAATTAAATCAATTTTTTTTTTTTTTTTTTTTTGCAATTTAAAAATAAGAAAGGAAAAATACGACCTCAGTGAGGGGGATATGCGTCACATTTTGTCTAACCACAACAGGATAGCACAAACCAATAAGTCGGGGACCAAAATCAAGATTAAGTAATTTAATTCCATAAAATACAATTGAAATAAAAAGAGTGATTTTATTGTCAATCTTCGATTAAGGGCATTATTATAGTGAACTGCTTCGTTTGACAACGATAACTTTTGCTTTTTATTCGGATTTCATGACGTTAATATAATCTTATTATCATTCAGTTTATGAGCGGTATAAAAAGGGACCTGATATTAAGTAACGCCATTGTGTAAAACTAAAATATGTTTATTTAGAGAGTCTTGGTTATAAATGTTTTTTTGTTTTTTTTTTTGTTTAAGTCACGTGCCGAGCTACTTTGATGCCACGTGAAATTAAAAACATTCCTAGTAAATTGTCCTCTTGTTGACAGTTCGCAGCGCAGGCGCCGGCACTAAATAAGAAATATTAAAAGAGGAAGGTTAATGTAACATGATAACACTTCTCAATGCCTAGGCTAACAGGGCTGGGGGGAACGAAGGAAAATACTTCAACGAGTACTCTAGTTGTCGGTTTATTATCTAATATAATATAATTATTGTCTACACGATTTAATGAAATTATTTGAAGTTATTTTTAAGTAAATGATTGCAAAATATTGTAGGAGCTGACTCCCTTCATCAGGGGTGTCCCTCCAAGGTCGATGGAGCAGAAAAGTGTGGCTCCTCCCCTTCCTCCACCTCAAGAAATTTGATTCATTTCCTCTTATAAAAAAAAAAGTGCAAGCCAAAATAGAATTAGAAAAAGTGAAGATCATATTTAATTACACTTGTTGTTTCTAATCCATGTTTTTCCCTGATTTAAAATTGTTCACTTCGAAAATTCATAATCCCCGCGAAATGTGACCCCGCAAAAATTCAAAATCCCGTCAAAATATGCCTCCCTCAAACATTTTGATGGTGCATTTTTCACCATATTTGTCCCTTCTGGGCACCACTGCCCTTCATAAAATATTGGGGGCAGAAAATGCCTTCCCTCGTCCCATCAATGCCAGTGTCTATGTGTAATAGTAATTCAGGTTATCACATTTAAAATTAACTAGGCTACCACGCCTGTCATTGATAGTGGAATTTAATAATTGAGGTTATTTTATGATGAAATTATAGGGTA